AGGTTTCCTTGCACCTGTTATGATTCAGCCTAAGATTTTGCTGCAGGTCGCTTGGAAGAGCAAAGAATCATGGGATGATGAAATGAATGATGAAATAAAGAAGAAATTTTTTAAAATGGGGAAAAAACAACTGAAATACCTCAAAAATATAAAAATTCCAAGATGGTTAGGTGTGATGAAGGAATCCAATTTAAGTATCCATACTTTTGTCGATGCCAGCAAGACAGCTTATGCGGCATGCATTTTCTTAAGAAGTGAATCCAGTATGGGTTCAGTGACTGTTCAATTACTTCAAGCCAAATCACGAATAACTCCAACGAAGACTATTACTATACCACGACTTGAACTAATGGCTGCTACCATAGGTGCTAGGCTGTTTAGTTCTGTGAAGCAAGCTCTAAAACTTCCCAACATCAAGACTTACTTTTGGACAGATTCTTCCACAGTTCTTGTGTGGATAACTCGTCGAGAACAGTGGTCGGTATTCGTTACAAACAGAATAAGTGAAATTAGAAAATTGACAATTTCGGAAGATTGGTTCCATATTTCAACTGACCAGAATCCAGCAGACATTTTGTCAAGAGGTTGTGGACCTAGGCAACTTCAGAAACGCAAGTGGTGGCAAGGGCCAGCCTGGTTGAAGAATCCGAAGGAGCAGTGGCCAAAGTCAGCTGTAAATATTAACGAAAAAGAAGTAGAGATAGAGAAACGAAAGTCAGTCATCTCTGCTAGTAACACAGAGCTAGAGTCAATTCCATTACAGTTAGCCAGAAGATTCTCTAGATTTTCAAAGATGATTAGGGTTATGGCTTGGATACTGCGTTTTCAACCAAAGGCCAAGGACTTAAGAAAATGTAAGGAACTTCAAAATGAAGAATTGTTAAATGCACAAAGGACTATTTTCCGTGTAATACAAAAGGAATGTTACTCCAATGAAGAAACACGAAAAAATTTGAAAGGTCTTCTAATATTTGAAGATGAAGAAGGAATTTTACGATTGAAGTCCAGATTGATAAATGAGGAAGAATCGAAAGATTTTATTTCTCCAATAATTCTACCATCGAAACACCTGGCAGTGAGAAGATTTATAGCCCAAGAACATATTGCTAACAAGCATGCTGGGACATTAACTCTACTGACTATTTTACGGGAAAGATTTTGGATAGTGAAAGGGAAAAGAACTGTCCGGAGTGTTATCAAAGAATGCTTAACATGTAAAAGGCAAAAGGTAAAACATCTTGAGGTACCTTTTCCGCCTCTTCCAAAAGACCGAACAGAAGTAGCAGCAGTTTTTCAAGTATCAGGTGTAGATATAGCTGGACCTCTGTTGACTAAATCTAAACAAAAGGTGTGGATAGTACTTTTTACTTGCGCCGTATTTAGAGCTGTCCATCTTGAGCTAATACCTTCACTGAGTACCAATGACTTCATCCAAGCTATGCGTAGGTTTATAGCCAGAAGAGGACGAATTTCTGTGATGTATTCAGACAATGGTACTAATTTTACAGGACTAAATAATGCTCTGAAACAATTAGATTGGACTACAATTGAAAGTGAATTTAGAGTCAACGAAATTCGTTGGAAGTTTAACCCACCCTCCTCTCCATGGTGGGGAGGCTTCTGGGAACGCTTGATTGGGATTTTGAAAGATCTTTTGAGAAAAAATCTTGGACGCTCCTGTTTGTCTTACGAGGAATTGCAGACTCTCGTCTGTGAATGCGAATCTATCATGAACAGCAGACCGTTAACTTACATATCCGAGGAACAAGATCTGAAGACCTTGACCCCCTCAATGTTTCTTCAGGACATTCCATTAAATGATGTTCCTGATTTGGATCAAATTGAAAAGACTAATATTGTTTTGAGATGGAGACATATTCAAAAGGTTCGTGAAAATCTAAAACGAAGGTTTAAAAGGGAGTATCTGGGTTTCCTTCGTTCTTCAGTTAACAAAAGAGAAGATAAAATAAATGTAGGTGACATAGTGTTAATTGTACAGATGATTAAAAAAATTCAGTAATCGGGTTTGAGCATTAGGAAATTTGTATCGCTTTTTACTGCTAAATGAGAAGGTTGATTGAATGCAGAATACTTTATTTCAAATTTAACCGAAGTAGAATAACTCATTATAGGTATTTTCACTTCAATAGAGCTTTATTAACTCGAGCTTTTACTTTTTCTTTAAATAATGCAAGAAGTGGGTTCCATTGATTAAGAATTCTAAATAAGTATTTCTTTAAAGACAGCCAGCGTGTACACACGTTTCAAAATATTTTCTCATTTCAGTATTATGCAGCTGTTGGAACTGTTTCAATTTTTCCTTCCTTTTAGAACTCCTTTCAAGATAATAATAAATATCAACAATGTGTTCATACACATTTATTGGTAAAGAAGCTGCCCCTTTTTCAGCTGCTAAATTTAAGAGGTGTCAGGTGGACCTCATAATCTGCAAATCTGAATTTTCCTTTTTTAAATTGCCTGCGACGCCAGTCTTCAAGCCTACCATTACTGGTGCATTATTGGCACCAAGTGCTAAGCAATTATCCAGAGTAACTGCATTTTCTTTTAAAGTTTTAATAATTAGCTGTGCTGTATTAAAGCGTGTCGAACGTCCTTCTAAAGTGGTGACAGAAAGTAAACTGCACTCAATTTCTGAAGTCTGGTATAAAAAAAGAAACAACAATTGGATAAAGTTTTGAATTGGTATTACTGCTTCCATCCGTAGAGAGGCAAAGCTAAAGCTAAAGAGGCTGTTTTAATGCAATCAATAACTGAAGATTTATTTTTAGAACCCATTTTTTTAACAATTGCACCTGTTTTGGTTCTTGCACTTGAGTATTTCTTTGTGATTTCACTATCCGGAAACATTTTTCTAAATAAAGCTGCAGCGTGATCTGATGCATTCAGTGGCAGGTTGTGCTCCAGTAAAAAAACAGAGAACAGATAGACATTCTGCATTACTAACTTTTTGGTCCTTTGTTTCCGAAGAAAAATTTTTTTCAAAATAACTCATGTTGTCCTTGTGTTTTTGTATATGCACATGTTTGAGAACATCCGCCTTTCCATTAAGTGAAATCAAAAAATCGCAACGACAGACGGTAGACATCGCAAATTTATTACATTTCCTTGAGGAAATAATGGAAGGTCAACTGTGTATGATTTTTGGAGTGTGCACGAGTATTTCACCTTTCTCGCAGACATAACAAAAGATAATTTCTAAAACTCCCGAAGGCACGTGTATTCACACAACTCAGGACAAGATGAACGAAATAACAAAAGAACATCCAAATGAGTAGAAAGCCTTGGGCTTGCTTTGTGCTCATTGGTTAATATACGACAGATGACACGCAGTGGAGCTCGATGCCCGTTGGAGAACTGGAGAACGATATTTCTGGATACGTATATGCTCTCACTCACAAAGCAGAAGTTCTCATCTGATTCACAAGGTTTTTAGATATAATCTAGAGAAAATTCAATTGCTTTCAGACGTCCAAAATCACTTTTTTTTTTTGTTCATATAACAAAATATTAAGCCAAGTTCCATAAAAATTGTGAGAAATTTTAAGAATAAGGAAAAGTCGGGAGAAATACATTGTAAATCGAGTTGGCGGGAGAGTGGTCGAAAATCGGGAGTCTCCCGCCTAAATCGGGAGAGTTAGCAACTCTGCGCTATATTGTGCATGTTGCATATTGTAAAATGAACCTATTACACTGTGCTAAATAGTAGTACAATACTATATATTAAAGATCTTTTATCTAATCTAATTTTTAACAAACTGCTCATTATTTTCGATTAAACTCACAATTATGTTCCCGACAGCTGTAAACACTCCTTGTGTAACATGTGCCATACACTGGATTGAGGTGATGCAATATCACAGACAATGTTTGCATGCTTGTATCAGGAGCTTCGTCCACTTGAAGTGATACGTCATCTTCAAAGGCAGGTGTACGTGTTATTCATGGCTGCCCTGTATATGCTTGTTCTTGCAGAATGTTCCATTTTCACACAGGTTACAGTGAAAATTTGCAAACATTCAGTAATTCAATGTATGTCTTTTCAGTTACTGTTCAGCATACAACCATGAACTTTTCATACACAATCTGAACTTAAAATGACTAATGCTGCATTCCAACTACACCTCTGGTGAAGAGCACCCTCAAACATACAAAACTGTAGATGGTAACAACCAGGTACGTAGCCAGAAAACTTCAGGCAATTTCATTATCGGGAAAGTCAATATTTATTTTAAGCTTATGATTTTAAAATATCAACTTGCATTTACGATACATCCTACCGATCGATCTGTCCTACCATTTAACTACAATGGAAAACAGAATTATTTTTGTTCATCCTGGAATCCTGTTTAAAAGTTCCTGAAATTTTATCTCATGAAGAAAAAGAACAACTGATAGAAATTTCCCGTGATCTAACTCTAACTGAAGATTTAAAAAATAACACACCTGTTAGCTTTTGACTGAACCGAGAAAAAGAATCTAAAGACATTCAAAATAAAGCTATTAAATTTTTATTGCTTTGCACAACCTATCTGTGCGAACAAGGATTTTCTTCCATGTTATATTTGAAAAATAAATACAGAACAAAATTGAAAGTGGATCCTAATTTACGTTAAAACTGAGTGAAATAAGGCCAGACAGAAAGAAATTGATCTCTCTTAAACAGTCCCAAATTTCACACTAAATTTTAGAATTAAAATATTATAACTTAAATTTTGATAGTTAAAATGGTAACCAATTTTTAATATAATATTTTTTATGTGTGCATATTTAATACAAATAGCCAATAGGCTGGGCAAATTTCAATATATATTTTTTAAAAATATTTCTAATGAGAAATTAAAAAATAATTATTGTAAAATGTAGTGGTGGAGTTTTTCCCTTTTAGTTTAGATGGTACGCGTTAGACAAAATGTTGAGAACCTCTGATACAGAGTAAAAGATCTAAATGTTAACTTTCTTAAGAGAAAGGAGATACTTACCATTACAGTGTAATTTTCTTTCACATAATGGACAGGTCTGATCTTCTACATTAAAAGAAAAGTATTTTTATTCAGAAGCACAATAAAAATATAATAATATTATAGATATTTCACTTTTTAATTACAACATGCATACAATAGATACTTGCATAAAGTATGAAACGATTTTAAAAAAAAAAAAAAAAAAAAAAGTAGTTGCTGTAAATAAAATATTAGTTTACCATTTACTAAAATTCCCCTTTTCTGTAATTTGTGTAGTTTTTCCAATAATGCATAGCAATCTGACACCAGAATTTTCTTGCACCCTTCTCGCAATGAAATCTATTTAAAAGAAATTGAAAAACAATACATACGAATTCAGTTATTTTAAATATAATTCCATGATGGCTAATATAACAAACTTTAAATGGCAAAATTTTACTGCTAGAAAAAGATGGAGGCATAAAAGGTGGAGTAATTTTACTATTAGTTATTAGCATAAGTCATGTCATGCATGGTTTTTACAAATATTTCCATTAATATATGACTACCCTAATTTTAAATATAGTTAATAATTTTTAAATACAATAATAATTCTACTAAATAGAAAATTAACTAACATATAAACAGCAAGATAGTACAATGCATCAAGTACATCCTTCATTTTAAAGCTTTCACCATGATGAAATATAAACTATGAAGTTATCTATATCTTCATGAAACAGTTCAGAAGTTCATAACAAAAATTCCACATTACATACACTAAATTTCATCATACTAAAATACAATTTATAATTTTTTTAAAATATTTCCCAAATGCTCAGTTTTCATTTTTGTACATATAGCAGACATTTAACCCATTTTATCCTATATGCATGCCAGTATGTTTCAGATGATCAGAGCTACAGGACTGGTGACTTATTATTTTTTCTAGACAAAAAGTTGCTTCATTGCTGAGTGAGCGAGTGAGATTATGGTTGCAAAATCAAAGATGACTATAATGCGCCAAACACGAAGAAGTATGATATTACCAAATAAAATAATAAGGTGGACAAATGTACCAAATGCAGATGATGAAGTCGTATAAAAACAAGGTAAAAATTAAAATACAATACATAACCTTCAAATCAGCTTAGATTAAGTAATAAAAGCTAGTCTCTTTTAAATAATAAAATAAATTATTGACCTCTGATTAAATAGTCAAGAGGTAAGTCACAGCTACTAAAATATTTCTGACGAAGACCATTAAAACATGGACACTCAATTAAAATATGACGGACTGATAGACAAACAATTATAATTCAGAAGTCAAACAACAAAAATCAGCGTTATATTTACAAAATTTTCACAGGACTAGTTTCGATGGTTTTACCGAACCACCATCTTCAGCTGCAAAACCGCAAATGAACCAGATAGGAAATAATGATTAAAACATCTTCCATTGGAGAACTGGATTTTCTAGAGGCATTTCACATTCATAAAAATCTTTCTGTTTTAGTTAACGATCCTAATTCCAATCTAAATTTGCCTTCGGCCTTTAAAGAAATTATGTTTTAGTTCTGGTTTCACTAACAGATGGTGCCACTTGCTTATTCTTGTCCAGGCTTTCTTATCTTATCTAATCATTATCACGCTGATTTTTGTTGTTTGACTTCTGAATTAGTATTTATTCGGCGTGTTATTGTGTCTTAATTATAGTAGCCCCAAACAGGCTTATTTTTTTGCTTTCTTTTTGCACGTGGGTGTGGCCGCCATTTTGTGATGAGTTTCGGTAAGTCTTTTTGCAATTTTCAAGTTATGTTTATATTTTGTATATTTGATATTGTGCTTTGCTTGTCTGATTTCATGCATTTTGCCTACAAACATTTTGTTTTCTATTCATTTCAGTGAGGGATTTTTCTGCTATTTTGTGTGTACTTTATTATTGCTCAGTTAATTTAGTTTGATTTTCTGTATGCCTTCATCCGTTAATCGATTCACTAAATTACGCCTGAAACAGCAAAAATTTCTGAATCATCTTGACTTTTTACTTAACTGTAAATGTAAAAAATTGATCCCCAATTTTATTCAAATCAAATCTAATCAAAAACCTTCGAGTCGCGTTTCAAGAATTCTGTTAAATTGCAAGCTTGCCTTACTTCAGTCCGTCATAAGGGATACACGTCAACAATTGTCCAAAATTGAACGTAACTCTATAAGCTTCATCTGGAAACTCACTAAATCATATCCAAAATCACTGCCCTTGAAGAAAAGTCTTCGTCTAGACGGAGAATGCAGTTAACCGTCATAAAAACACCCTTGCAGTTAAATTCGAAAAACTTCTTTTACAATCTTCCAGTTCAAGTAGTTCAAAAAAATTTTCCCATTGTAAACATCAAGTCAATAGTTAATATTTCTAATGTTAATCTTTCAGAAGAACAAGAGAGAATTCTAAAATATAATTTTAACTTCTCACAAACCTGTAAACCCTCGATTCCAAAGATTTTGGCTCCTACTGAAAAAGCTTTCAAGTTCAGTAAAGTTTCAGATTCACAGAAAGAATTATTAGGCATCTTATCGCTCATAATGTGAAATTCATAATAAACCTTTGAAACCAAATCTAACTGCGAGAGAAAGAACTACATTGCGTGAAAGTCATTCTAACCCGGATATTATTATTTCAAAGGCCGACAAAGGTGGTCAGATAGTCGTCATGGATAGGAACACTTACATCGATGGTGTCACTAAACTCTTAAACGAAGGACCATATAATCCGATCCCTAAAGATCCTTCACCTTCGGACTTGTCAAAAATAAAAACTGCAATCAAATCTTCGCAAATCATTTCAGGCAACTTAAAACATTCACTTATCCCATCTGTTGCGAATTAAGCCAGATTATATGCTCTTCCCAAAATTCATAAAAGTGGTATTCCTTTCTGCCCTATTGTATCAAATTTAGGTACTACTGCCTCGTATCCAGTTAGCTAAATATTTAGTTTTTAGATTTTCAATTCTATTAGACATAAATCTATTAGACATAAATAATTTACACCATAAAAAATTCAGGAGAGTTTGTAAAAAAAAAGTTAAAAAGCATTTCTCCTAGAAATTTACTCATGGTTTCCTTTTGATGTAAAATCGTTATTCACCAAATGTTCCAGTGCAGGGATGCATTAACGATGTCTAGAAACCAGACTTCGCGAATTTCATTTCTCTGCATCGAAATGATGAGCTAATTTCTCTCACTCAACTCTGTTTTGAAACAAACACATTTTGTTTTCCAAAATAAACATTACAAGCAAACTGAGGGATTAGCCATGGGAAGCCCCCTCAGTCCCATCCTGGCTGATATCTACATGCATTATTATGAATCAAAATTGTTTGAAACTTTAAACTTCCTGGCATAGTTCCGCTACGTAGACGATACTTTACTACTCTGTTTGAAGGTAATAAAGATGATTTTAATAAAGTTCTTTCAACAATGAATTCTATTGATCCTGCTATTCAGTTCACTTTTGAACTTGAGACTTGCAATTCTCTTCCGTTTCTCGACATTCTGGTCACACGTAACACATCCAACTTCAGTACTACGGTTTACCGTAAACCTTCATCGGTTTGCCTTCCACCACACTTTAAATCATGTCATCCGACTAAACAAAAGTTAGCTTCATTTTATTCCTATGTTTTCTGTGTTCTTCAAGTTTGCTCCTCCAAACTAGCCCTTGATGAAGAACTAAATTATTTAAAAGCAATAGCTATGACAGGGGTTTTCCACCCAACATTATTAATCAAGCAGTTAAAAAATTCTCATCTCAACACACTAAAAGGCACACTCTTGTTTTAGGAGATTATAAAAATTCTGTTGTCATTCCTTTCTTCCATCAATTAGCTATAAAGTTGCACATATTTTGCAGAAATTTAACTTTCGGGTTGTTTTATTCTCCCATCAATAAAATTCCGAGTTCCATACTCAAGGACCCCATTCCGGATATGAATTCCTGGCGTATTTATAGGATTCCTTGCCAGTGTGGTTTAATTTACATTGGCCAAACTAAGAGAGCCTTAAAATTTCACATCAAGGAACATGAGGCATATGTTAGAAAAAAGGAAACCCAGAAGTCTTCTGTTGCTCAACATTGTTGGTCCGAAAACCACACTTTCACAGTTTTTCTGCTGCCAAAATTATTCAAAAAACATCTTCCATTGGAGAACTGGATTTTCTAGAGGCATTTCACATTCATAAAAAATCTTTCTGTTCTAGTTAACAATCCTAATTCCAATCCAAATTTGCCTTCGGCCTTTAAAGAAATTATGTTTTAGTTCTGGTTTCACTAACAGATGGCGCCACTTGCTTAATCTTGTCCAGACTTTCTTATCTTATCTAATCATTATTTCCTATCTGGTTCATTTGTGGTTTTGCAGCTGAAGATGGTGGTTTGGTAAAACCATCGAAACTAGTCCTGTGAAAATTTTGTAAATATAACGCTGATTTTTGTTGTTTGACTTCTGAATTAGTATTTATTCGGCGTGTTATTGTGTCTTAAACAATTATAATTTAAACAAACAGGCTCATTCTCAGCTTTCAAAAGGTATTTGTGTGTCACTTTAGTGCGATAAATTCTGAGGTGAGTGAGAACTTCCTCCTTACGATTTCTAGAAAAATTCCAGTGCTCAATTCTAAGCATTACCCATTTCAACTTGCAAAGCTGCTGTCATTTTTTTTGGATCTTCTCATTGATGACACAGCAGATATCTTTAAAAGGATAAGGTGACTGGACAGTTCAAGAGCAGATTTTGCTGCGATATCTACCAGCTCATTTCCCTTTATTACCACATGTCCAGGAACCCAGCAGTACAGGATTTCATACTCACGACTTGTTAAGTTTATATTTATCTTCAGAACATCCACTAATATAGGACTGAGTGTTGGGAAATGCTTCTAACGATTTCAGTGCACTATACGAGTCTGTATAAACTATGAACTTTTTGTGGCAGAGCTCTGAAATGTACAAAAGACCATAATATATTTCAGTTAGTTCAGATGTGCGAGAGAGCGCAACGCAAACTTCTGCCCTCTATTTTTCTAATCTCCTGTTACAAATGCCATCTCAATATGAACATTTGACTTAAATTCATCTGTATATATCAGATGATAACTGCTATATTTATGCCTGTGCTCAGGAAAGTGTTGTTTGTAAATAATTTCATTAGTGTTTGCCTTCACGTGATGGTGAAAACATCTAGAAGCTGGATCCGTGCACTTTCCCAAGGTGGGATTTCAAAATTCTGCACTGCTTGGGGGCACAAATCAGAGAGGGAGAGTTCCTCAATGACAGGGCGAGCTCTTAAAGGAAAGGAATGCACACAGGATGGACGTACTTCAAATAAAGTGTTACACATATTATCAAGTAAGCACAGCTCATTAGGATAATCAAGTTGAGCCAAAATATTAAAATACTGCAAAAGTGACATATGCTCATGTCTCAGATGAAGCAAAGGTTCACTACAGTCAACATAAAGGCTCTGGACAGAATATGTCCTGAAAGTTCCAGAAAAAATCTGCAAAACGTGATGATGAACAGGATGTAATTTTAACAACACTGAAGATTAAGTGGACCCATAAACAACTGAGCCATCGTCCAGTCTAAAGCGGACAAACGCTCTGTAAATGCAAAGCATACAGCAATGCTCTACATCCCAGGAAGTGTTTGCCATGATTTTAAAAATATTTAGTGTTTTTAAATACTTTCTTCTCAGGTTTAAGACATGAGAAAGGAAAGTCAATTTTCAGTCGATCAATCACTCCTACAAATTTTACTTCAGGTACAACTGGAATAATTGAACCATTCAGATATAACTCAGGCTCAGGATGGAGACCTCGCTTCCTACAAAAGTGCATGCACAAAGTCTTCTGTTTCCAAAATGTAAATCCCTGTTAGTCTGACCATTCTTGGATCCTGTTCAAAGCGATCTGCAATTGCCTTTCTATATGTCTCATGTCTGCCTCTTGACAGCTAATCTTTAGGTCATCAACATATAAAGATCACAAGATGGTGGGAGGAAGTTCTCTTAATACAGAGTTTATTTTTAAGCTGGGTTACACTAAGCACACTCCCTTGAGGCACACCCTCTTCCTGTTCAAAAACATCCAACAAAATAGAGCCAATCTTTACTTGAAAAGTCCTAGAGTCCAACAAGGGAACACAGATTCCTGCGTTAGGGCTAGCTGGACCTATACATAAACTGAAGCCTCACACAGTCAGCTTTCCCAAAAGCAGGTACTCCCGAGAGCTTATCCCCAAGCCACTGACAGAAGGACTATTGACCAGCCAATTAAACACCCATAAGGATGACAAGATGCCTCCCATTTAGCTGAAGCAGAGGCCAAAGCAGTGTGTTGGGGACAGTACCTCACTCCTCAACTACAAAACACTCCTTTCCAGAGACACAAGTCTACACACATGGCAAACAGATGGGCAGTCTTCTCGCCACTCAAAAACTAGAGACAAGCGCTGTTCCAGTTTCTCATAACAAGCCCCAACTTCTGAAGAGGAAAACCCCAAGTGAGAATGGAAGGAAAAAAAGTTTCAACTCGGAGGAGAAGAGAGATCACTGGGGCTCCAGGATCGTGTTACCCATCTCACCAAAATGATGATCTCCTGAAGGGCTAGAGTACCTCGGGATTGCCACACCTGCACTCGCAAAAAGTGAGCCCTGAGGAAACTTCATTGCTGAAGATGAGCAAGTCAGTATAACTATGTACATGACAGCAAACTTAAAAACTACACATGTAACAGTTCTTATAGGAGCAGTTCTCATAAGTGTATCAAGCATAATTCTCATTTTCTTTGCTTGGTCTTTAACACTCTGGCTGATTAACCAAGTACAGATATTTCATCCTAAAATTTTGTACCACTTCTCAGTGCTGTTGAGAACAAGCACTATCTTCAGGAATTCTGTCTGAAACTGTTGTTGCAAAGTCAAATGGGTACAATTCCAAAGCATACAATGACTTCTAATGGTTACATGAAATGCTATCAGGCCTGTGTCACTTAGCTGACTAGACATTTAGCCAACACGTATATTTAGCTGACAGTACATTTAGCCGACAGGACATTCAACCTACGACAAGCAAAACCAACAGCACTTCGCTGATAGCATTTACATGTAGACATAAAATCCATAAGAATGTTTTAGTAAAATAAGCTACGCAGACAAGAAAATGGTCCGTGATTCTGAAGGGCCCATGTTCAATTCTGGAGAAGGCAAGTATAAAAATTTTCTAACCCTTCATAGGAGGCAAAACGGTACCCTACCTAATAGTTGCTTTCATAAAAAAGTGGCCACTGCTTTCAGCCTTAGCAGGAGACAAAAGCCTATAATGGCTAGTGCCCTACATTGCCCCCCCCAAAAAACAATTTAATACAATGTTTTAGACAAAAGGTTGTTTCCAGAGTACACAAAAAGTGGGTTCATGGACAAGTGTTCCATTTTTGTCTTTATTTAATGCTAAAGAAATTATAGACTTTTAAACTAGACAGAAATGTAACATTATTTTACCATTGATTTTAAAATCAATTTCAAGAGTGATCAAACATAGGTCCCACAACTTTAGAAGAGGAAAGAAAAAATTCAGTAGTTACAGGAATAAAATGATTTTATATGGAAAGGAATGAGCACAGCAAAACAAAAGCAAATGTAACATAATCTGCCAAAGAAAACAGAAATGAAATATGAAAAAGATATTAATATTTTGAATGCATTGAATTCCAAATTATAATACCTTAGCTTTTTCATGTTTGGTTTTTGTTTTCTTTGACAGATCATGTTGCATTCATTTTCAATTTGCTCCACTTATTTCTTTCCATATAAAATCACTTCATTCCCACTGACTGCTTAAATTTTCTTTCCTACTTCTGAAATAGAGGGACCTATGTCTGATTGCTCTTGAAACTGATTTAAAAATCTAAGCTGAAATAAGATTGCTTTATAGGTTAACTTTAAAATCTGTAGTCTCTTTAGTATTAAATAAAGACCCCCCCCCAAAAAAAAATGTGATACTTCTCTATAAACATTTCTATTGTTTATCCTGGAAATAGCAGTTTGTCAGATAAATATGGACTAATTTTACTAAAACTTTGTTATATTTTTTTATTTACATGTACACATTATCAGCTAAACCTGCTGTCGACTAAACAAGCTGCTGGTTAAATGTGCTCTTTGATAAAGGCATTGTTGATTAAGCATTCTGTCGGCTAAATATCTATGTCATTTAAATGTTCTTGTTTGCTAGCTGTTTTGATGGCTAAGTGTCCGTGACTGATTGCTGTCTATTATCAACAAACAATAGCAATTATGTCCAAGAGCTTTTCTTTAAAAAAAAAAAAAAAAAAAAAAAGTGTAAAAAGATCTCTTTATTTCTCTAAGAATTACTATGATCTGCATAGTCTATTTGCAATAAATTTTAAAAATATTAAAAATAAAATAAAATAAAAAATAAAAAAATATCAGTCATCTTGTAACTCTGAAAATGACTGAGCATTTCTCCCCTTCAGGATATCCAAACATTAATGAAATTATGAGCATCAACAAATTGGAGGACTATAAAAAGAAAAAAAAATCTTTTACCTGCAAAGTATAATCATGAAGAATTTTAACCAATGAATCTCTTAATCCAGGAATTTCCATCCCATTTGGAATTTTCTGAATCAGCATTATTGGATCCACATGCGTGCCGATATTTTGCAACAAAACAGTAATAAAACCTATACAATTTAATAACATAGTATTTAATAACAATATATAAACCTATACAATTAAATAGTTTTAATTTTAACCAAAATTCAACAATTACATTAGTGTGCAAAATTTAAGCAAGAGATGATTTTTTGAATGTAACATCATGCAGAAGTGTTTCCCATCAACCCAAATCATACTGTAAGATCCTCAAAATGTGAAAATATGAGACAAGTGAGCAAAGTAGTTCTTAGTACAACTGGAGAGAAGAAGGAAATGTCCATGCGATAAGCACCTTGCAGGAAAAAACTGGGCTCCTTGCAGGAATTGTTATTAAAACACCTTGCAGGAAAACACTCTTCAAGGGCTCTGCATTAGCTACTGCACAATGAGGTTAGCATTGCTGTCCAAGAAGAGGAAATGTGGACCCACAACACCCTTAAACACATGAACATGAGGCAAGAGTATCTTTGTATAATAACGGACAGGAGTGAGTGAACCTCCATGGAAGTTGGAAGGTTAGCATGTTTGCCAAGTATGATACTACCCCAAATGAGAATTCGTCAGCCCCAAAACGGTTCCTTTCGATGATGTTGGAGGGGTGATTATGAATTCCCTTCTCTCTCCAGATGTGTATATACCCATAATCATTCATCAATCTAAATTAGTTCTCATCTGTAAAGAGTGGCTCACCAGATGCTGAGCGGTTAAAGCCGCTGAACATTGGTAGTTCAGTCCTGGGTTTGAGTCCCGGTGAATGGGCTGGCTGCATGGGTGTTTTTGTGTTTCCTCCCCTCTGTAATGTGGATACGAGCTAGTTTCCCCTAAAAAGACCTCTATGAGGCATCCCTCCCTTTCCATGTAGTGCCTAAGGGTAGAGCACGCAATAAGTAAAAAACCCGTAAAGAGCACTCGACCCCAGCCCTGTTGTGCTCATTTTTGTGTTTTCAGAGCTATAGAAACTGGTGTCTCTGATGAGCAGGCATTATTGGCACACATAGTACAGGTCGCCATGCATACAGACTATGTTTGTGAAGCCTCCTGGCAATAGATACCAGATGTCCAATAGCTTGTTATAAGTGCCTTGTGATTTCTGCCACCTGTCTCTTCCCACTTGAAGGACAATACACCAGTTGTTTGCTGGCATTTTTGCTGTTGGTATGTTGTTGAATGCTCGGACACCTATTCCTGTCATTTGAAATATTTTCCAGGCTCATGAAATTATGCTACGAAAAATCCCAAACTCTTCCACCACAATTTGACATTTTTCCAATTTTCAATAACGTGACCTTAAGTAAAGTATACAGATGACATCTCCTGGATTGCCTGTTGGCCATATCACATGATAACAGCAACTTGATGTCACTGAAATCACTGTATAGCACATAACAGCATTCACCGGATTACTGAGTGTACGCTATCTATGTGCTTTACCCTTCTGACACTCCTCCTCCTACATTATGTGGCACATATGAACATGCCCTACAGTACCAGTTCCAATTCTTATTTTCTTATTAATCTTTCAGTCTGATCTGTTTGTTTGTTCTGCTTTTATGCTTAACTCTCTGCCTTGTCCTTAATTTTTGCACACCAGTGTATTTAAGCTAGGGGTGCAAAAGAAACTATAGAATAAAAATAATTTAAAATATAGTTATGCAATGAAAGAGGATAATTAGGGATATCCTGAAAAGCAACATTTGTCAATTGTTTAGAAAAATTTTTGTTTTTAATCTTATTCCAAATATGCTACAAAACATTTTTTTTTTAAAGCTAATCTGAAAGTATTTTGTAATACTAATAATAATAAAGAGAAAATTCTGCTGCCTGAAGTACAAGAATTAATACACAGTTTGATAAAAAGACATTGAAAATTAGTTCAAAATATGGTCATACAAAAGAAAAACCCAAACAACCCCTTTACGCATGTCACTATACCAGTTTCTGGCAAAAATCATAACTCTATAAAACCTGATATAGCTAAATTCAAGTACACTATTCTTAGTTTTTATGACATTTAGAAAGTTACATATTACTTCCCTATCATACATACCAGATCTTAATATTTTGGATGGTGCATGTGCTTGATTACACAGGAACTTTAATGTGATTCAATATTTGAAACTACTTATGAAAAATTGTTCAGATGTGCATAACAAATCATTTTGGCTGAGAAACAGATATCATCAAGTATCAAAATCTCCATCAGTATTCATTATTGATTAAATCGTAAAGATATCACATATTTTTAATTGTAACAGACATGAAAAATCACCAATGAAACCATCTTGGAAAATCAACTGTTTTGTAGTCTCAAAAAGAAGAAGATACTACTTACAATCTTAATAACTATAACACTTTATATGTTAGCAATAAAAATTAAATAATACATGATATTAATGACTATAATGCTTAACAACATAATCAATTAAAGACAAAAGAGAATTCAGTAATATCAAATTAATGGCAAATTTACGAAATGTACAGTTTGCTGTTCATATTTCAGAAGAAGAAAAAATGTACAGGTACAATTCTAATGAAAGTTAAGCATTTGCAGAATATCAAGAAATGTATCAAATTTAGGTCCAAAATTCTATCTGCAAGCTATCATTTCTGCATGTACACATACATATTATAAAAAGAGGAAGAAACAGAGTAAAAAAAAGGGGGGGGAAGAAAGAAAAAAAACTAGCTTTAGTCATGTTACATATGATACAAATGTTTAAACTGATACGCAGCTAACATTTCAGTTACCAATTCTTCTTGGGCTCAATTGAGAGTTCCATTCAGCCAACTAGGCAAAAAGTTAAACTGAATAATAAATGAAGTAAATAGTATTACTGTACTTTCACAATGCTAAGACAATTTGGGGGCACAGACACATGCTGAAGAATTTATGTTATCCAATTCAACTTAAATTTTTACACATACCTATAAAAGAATGTTCATAAAAACAAATTCATTAAATTGATATGTATGCGAGAAGCATAAAACCCAAAATTAGATATACCAGGTTTATCAAGGGAAGATTGAATTAAATCCTCCCATAATTCTTTATCATTGTGCTCTTTACAGAATTCAATTGCTTGATCAATATCTTGAAGTTGCTCAGTGATCTGCTGCAGGGCTTGCCTTGTGTTACCCATTCTGCCTGAAAGAACAAATTGCAAATGAAAAATATACCAAAAACACAGTTACAGGGAAAAGGGGGTATTTTAACATTGTTATAAAATTAATGACCTGTAATTTTTATGATTACTGGTGAACTACACGAATACTATATTAAAGAATAACTATGAATATTACTACTACAGAATAAATACTAATCATACTACAGACTAACTGCTAATGATTGACATTTAACTAATATTAAATAAGAAATTAAAAGTTTGAATTAAGGGTAGTAAAAGGATTTTTTATGCAAGTTTCCGATATTCTTAGTCAATGAAACAATTTTAATCTGCAAGATCATACTAAATTAGATTTTAAACAAAGAATATTTCAATATTTTTGTATTTTGGGACTTTTGGATTCATGAACCAAGTTGTTATTTAAAACAGATGAAAACAGCTATATAAAAATATTTAAAAAATAATTTTATAATTATTTAGGAAAAGACATACCCACAACCAGAAGAACTGAAACAGCATTTAATAAGTCAATGAATTAAAAAATGTACGATTTTTAACAAAGCAATGGAGTACAAAAATGATTGTTTTGAAGCTCAATAATGAAGCAAAACTCAAATTTATGAAGTATTAAAATAGCCATACACTCGTAAGAAAAAGTGCAGGCCAAAGAATTAAATGAAAAGAAGATATTTTAGTACAAACAAATTGATTCTATCACTTTAATCTGTAGCCATTACATGAAAGTAAACAATATAAATGTTAAGCTTTTAAGAGAAACTTTTCGAAATATAAGCATTATAAAATGTTCTTAAAGTAATTTTATTCCTATTATGTGTTTGTACAAAGAGTGTACAAAAACTCGATGCACACACTTCATTATCCAAACAAGAATTTTCTGTATATATTGTAACTAATCCATCATTCACATGCATTATAGTATAAAAAAATTTAATGTAAACAATATCTTCTTTTGAAGAAAATTTTTATGAAAAACACTTTATGTTATTCACCAAAAGTGAATGCTTCTAAATTTAGGAATAAAATATTACTATAATGAGAAAAAGTAACTTTGATAGTTTTGCATATCTGCATTTCATTCCTCATTAAAAAAAAAAGTTACTTTTTAGTTATGCCAGCTCATATTTTGTGAGGGGATAAAAACATCACTAATGACATTTTGAAAAATCCCTATCTATTTAGCTTTGGGCTCTATTTTGCAAGATAAACTTATTTGCCATTAGTGGTTAATAGCTATATTTTCTTAATAAGGCAAGAAGATATCTGGAGGTTCGCTTATATATAAGTTAAATATGATTTACATGTAACTTAATCATAAAAATGACATTTCTTTTAACACATACTCAAATTGCTAAATATCTGTATTCAACTAGAAATTTTCTAGCAATCTTCAGAGGTCTCTCTCTGCTGACAACAAGTCCAGGTGAATGTTACCGTCTTTTACCTAACCATTAACATCATTATCACCCATCTTGTAGATAATATTATCTTTATTGCTGCCCACAGCATCTCTATGTATAATAAAAGAAAGAGTCTGTCTGTATTTGCGTCTTTCGTTTGTGCAGCACGTATGTTAATAGACCCACGGCTACGAAATTTGGTACATAGGTGCATCTAGACAATAGCCAGTGCACCTTGAAGCGATTTTTTCAAACTAATTAGAATTTTTTAAATTTTATGTTTTGTGATTAAATCACGTTATTTTGAGACATAATGGGCTATAGGAAAGCAAGATTTTACTCTACACACTCCATTTTCACATTGTCATGAAATGTAGGCACTTAGCTATTTTACGAACTTAAAATAAATTTCGTGTTTCAATAAATCGGTTAAATACAAATTTATTTAACAAAGGGAGCTTAATACCTTTTCAACGGGATTTTTTCTAAAAAAGTTTATTTTCTTTGATTTTTGGACACGTTAAGCTTTCATCCTTGCGACTGCTTTTACAGAAAGAAATTTGGAAAAAATGATAATATTTTGTATTTTTAAAAAAATTTTTAAATGAAGCTTCCGAATACACTTCTCACATCTTTAAAAATGTGATTTTGGCAACAATTTTCCTGTCTTATTGTTGTTGATTGATTTTTGATGAAATCGCATCATTTTGAATGGTTTCATTCTTTTAGAAATATGGGTTTGGCAACAATTTTTCATTGTATTTCTTATGTCACTGTTTTTAAGAGATTGGCATATTTCATTTTCATTTATATACGAGGGCTATCCAGAAAGTAGATTACGTTTTGGAATAAAAAAATAAACAAAGTATAGGAAACAAATTTTATTATATACAGATGAAAGCCACACTCAAATACTACTTTTCTACATAGTCACCATACAAATTAAGGCATTTATCGTAGCGATGTACGAGCTTGGAAATTCCTTCGTCGAAAAATTCGGCCGCCTGCGCCTTCAACCACTTCGTTACCTCTTCTTGCAGCTGTGCGTCGTCATCAAAACGCTGCATAGCCAGCCACTTCTTCATTGCTGGGAATAGGTGGAAGTCGCTCGGTGCCAGGTCGGGACAAACTTCGCGAAATTTGTGGAAAACTCAAAGAAAGTTCCGTTATTGTGAAATTTCGATTTTCACGGACTTTAGCATTGACTTTTTCGAGAAGTTCGGCGGTCACTATGCTGGGTCTCCCACTTCGATCTTTGTCGTGAACGTTGGTTCGGCCATTTTGAAATCTTATGACCCACTGACGCACTCCACCTTCAGTGATAATGTTGTCCCCATACACTTCACGAAGCTGCCGATAGATTTCTATCGGTTTACAGTTTTTTGCAGTCAGAAACCTTATTACTGAGCGCACCTCGCAGCTCGCGGGATTTTCAATTAACGCAGACATTTCAAACCGTCACAGTATCTGAACGGAGCACAGCACGAACCTCTCACTAGCACGGCTAGATGCAGACTGAGCTGCGCAACGCTCTGACCCCAAGATGGCCGCGCTAGCCCCGCCCCTAGCGGCCACAGACGGAAACGTAATCTACTTCCTGGATGGCCCTCGTATATATATAATACATTTTTATTGATTTTTTTTTTTTAAATAAAGTTGTTCTGCAGAGTAAAATTCTGCACGGAATTTTATGTTTTTTGAGTTGCTTTCATGTTATTTTTTGCTTATTTCACTGTTTGTAAGATATTGAAAAGTTTTACATGATTTTTTTTCTTCAACGGAAAGTTGGTTAATTTTTTATTAGGATAATTAATATTTGTATTAAGGGATATAACTTATTTCATTGTAATTTTTTCTCTTGAAAATATAAGATAAAATATCATTAATTGTACTTTGCTTTTCAGAATTTTTTATTTTTTGTATTCTTTTATGTTATTTATTGCTCATTTCACTGTTTTTAAGATATTTAAAAGTTTTGAGTGATTTTTTTAGGAAACAAAATTCTTAATCTCCTTTATACCATTTGAGTTCTTAAGATTTTGCAAAGGGAAGTTGGTTAATTTATTTATTAGGATAATTAATATTTGTATTAAAGGATACTGCTTATTTCATTGTAATTTTGTTATACATAATAACTTTTTTTTATGAAGTTGTTTTGCAGAGTAAAATTCTACGCAGTTTTTACATTTAATGTTTGGTGTTCCCCTTCAGCCATTTTTCCGGTACATTTAAAAGCCAGACGAAGGCTGGCAGCAAAGCTGCTAGTTGTTCAATAAAAGTTATAACATTTAATTTAAAGCTAGCAGAATATGCAGCCCTTTTTTATCCATGCATCCTTCATTACATACTAGAAATGAAAAACACCTGCTCATAAGAGCAAGAGCACAACTGAGGGAGGAAAAAAATCTTATACTTTATACTTGCTTATGAATGATTACTAACACTGACAAACAATGTAAATTTACCACACTGTTGCTTGATTGCCAAATGATATGCATGCCTTTAAGACGAGAGAATCAACAATTGGCCTTAAATGTATCCTTTCATACTCATTCCTGTGCTGCTTAAGTTGAAGGTGAATTGACACTTACCTTCAGCTCATGTGATAGGTTTAGCTGCATGATACAAATTATTTACATAATATAAATTATTTGACCATTTATCAATATTTGAATTTATAGAACACTTTTAAATTTGGCTCATACACAGGTTTTCAATTTTGTCAAAGAGCAAGCAAAAATCAAGTATTAAAAAATTAGAAGAAAACATGCTATGAATGTCTCTTACATTTTAAGGGGGAGAGGAATCAGAGATAAGAAACAAATTATGCTTTTGCTGCCATATCACCAAGAAAATGCGAGTGGGGATAACTGACACATATAAGACCTTTTTTCCAACCGCAAAATATGCTAATGTTCATTTAAAAAGATAAACACATTTCTACATTCGTAAATGTGGCTTTAACCAATCTACCATGTTATATAATAAATGCAGAAACTACATTAAGTTACACAAAAAACATATCAATGAGAATCTTCAAATTTAATTTCAATAAGGATTCAATAACTAACCTTCTGAGAGGCGTAAATGGCTTAATACAATCTAAGATTTTTCGTCACTTGGTAAATATTCGCTTATAATTTAAGATATTTTGCTTTCTCACTTTCTTTAATTTCACATGTCCTTCTAATGAATGTAAGATGTGAAAATATAGATGAAAATAAGTAATTATACAAATTTAGTTAATAAATGCTGTTTAAAATACAGGTTTTCACGATAGATCCAAAAAACATGGACAACTCAGAAAGTTAAAATGGTTTAATATGAAACTTTAAATATTTACTTTAAATACACAATCATTACAAATTCTAGATGTCAATTATACAAAAGAACTTGAATGGGAAAAGAAGTAAAGCTTCATGACACAGAGAAAAATTAAGATGAAAACGAGTATTGCATTGGATGTGCAATGATAGGTCGCGTACATACTTTTATAATAATTCATCTATGCATGTGTGCCAAAACCATCACCAGCAACCAAGAACTTATCATAGTGTGTTATTGAACAATTTAAAAACATGAGTCCTCATGTTAAAGATATAGCATAACTTTTAAAAATGCATTTTGTAACATGAGAAGGTAATAAAAAATCACATGTGATGAATGACTGAATGGAATAATGAATAAACAGTTCTCATTGGAACATTTTATTTTAAAATAATAATTCAGACAATCAAATAAATCAGAAATATTTAGGAATATGCCAATATCAAATTCTTAACCAATGCAGATTCTCTGCCATACTTCAGGAACAGATAGCTGCCCAAAATATCAAAATCATCAATACTTAACATAATAATAACGCTAGCCACAAAATGCATAATCCTAGAAACCCTCCTCATAAAAAGGATCTTCTAAGAGAAATAATTCCAAATTTAGTCTTATCTTAAAACCTAAATCTTATTCTGAAACATTTAACCATAACCATTCTGAAACATTTAACAATACCATCTTCTACAGAAACAATTCCAAATTTAGTCTTATCTTAAAACCTAAATCTTATTCTGAAACATTTAATAACACTAACCACAGTAAAATTTTCCTAGCTTTCTTTCACACAATGAGGAAACTCAAAAACATCTTCGGAGGCATTAAATTATCTTAATTAGCATTTCTTATTAATAACAATTTTCAACAGCTTAGAAGTGCTGACATTCCAAAGAAGAAAATGAGCACTTAATTCTTAATTTTTGAAGAAATGAGTACACTTGAAAATAATATTTAAGTCTATGCTTTAGTTTGATTTTTCATCCAGACACTTTGCTAGTGAAAGGTAAAAACCAGATTCTTTGCCATTTCCCTAAACTCAAGCAGTCAGTGAAATGGTCAGCACAACTTCATGCTTTACTTCTTGCTACTCTACTCACTATTTTTTATTATTTTCAACAATAATAAATGTTGCATTTATTAATTTATTTGTAGAAATATATTGCATAGACATTTAAAATTAAAGCATAATTTAAAATAGTAATTGTTAGAAATATAAAAATATTAGTAACCATCTATCAATCAAGTACAAAAATAAATAATTATGAAATGAAAAAAAAGCTTCGGAGGGGGGACTTACGTAAAGCATACTGCAGAACAAAAATTTTAAGGGGGGGGGGAAGCAAAGATTAATTCTCAAATAGAAGATTTACATCTTTTATTTCACTAAGATTTAAAATAGGAGTGATTCTCAGTGAATAAATTTCATTTGCTTAAGTGCATAGTGCCTTTTATTCTAAAGTCATCTGAGGGAACTGAACTGGTTTATATTGTGTCTATAAGAGCTTGCCTTCTTCTCCTATTCATGTTATTGTTTATACTCACCTAATAAGAAGACTACTTCATGTATTAAAGAACGCTGCTGACAAACTTCTAAAGCGTGTTCTAATGAATAATTATAAGATGTTCTTAGAAAAGATAATAACTGTTCTGGCGCATACTCAGCATATAATTCCACTAACAAACCATGATGTTCTTCTCCAAGTGTAGGGTCTTTAAGAAAAGCCTTGTGCAAATACTACAAAATGTAAATTTTTTTTTTAGTCATTATAAATAAAAATAGCAAATCATACCAAATGTTAAATTCATTATGATAAACTTCAGATTGATTAAAAAATAATTTAGCGAGCATAATTTTTTTAAATAATACTTAATCTTTGGCAGCATTAAATAATGAATTTTAGAGACCCAAAAATATATTTAAAAAAGGCAACAAAATATTTCACTTACTTCATACAACAATTTTTTCTTATTTTTCAACTTAGAAACAACCAGATTCACTGGGATTTTTTGCACATTATTGAGTAGCATATTTGTAGCCACAGGTGGATTTAAAACCATTAGTGTGTCAAGTTTGTCATGAATACTTCCAAACAAATTATGATTTTGAATCAATTCAAACACTCTGTCCTTACTACCAATCCTAAATAAAAAGGATAACAAACATAGGAAAGGATATGCAATACAAGATATTTATTAAATTCAACATTTATTGCAAATAATATAAAAAGAATTTAAATTAAAGAAACAAAATTAGATCTTTCTAGTAAATTTATTCAAAAAAAATTTTACAAGTGCAAAAAATTATCTTCTTCCATATCTTTTAAAATTATATTTCTTAATATAGTTTTTCAAAATTATTTTAAGTCTGCTAAATACTATATACATATATATTCATAACCAATAGCATTTATGCCATTTAATTTTAATATATAAAATTTTGGAAGAAATTGTTAAAAATAGGACGACCAAATGTAATGAATCATGAACGAATAGTTCTCATTGGAACATTTTATTTTAAAATTATAATTCAGACCATCAAATAAATCAGAAATATTTAGGAATATCTCAGTATCAAATTTCTTAAACAGTTCAGATACTCCAGGATGTGATGACTGCCCAAAATATCAAAATCATCAATACTCAACATAATAACACTAGTCACAAAATGCATAATCCTAGAAACCCTCCTCCTGAAAGAAAAGGAAAAAATACCATCTTCTAAGAGAAATAATTCCAAATTTAGTCTTATCTTACAACCTAAACTTTATTCTGAAACATTTAATCATAACCATTCTGAAACAATTAACAATACAGTCAAATACCTAAAATTTGCCGACCTGAAATCCGCATTGACTCTCAAAATATAAATATTTAGTTTATAAGTTCCGGAAACCGCAACATGGAGTATGAAATATCAAAGAAAAAATACTTAATGGATAATGACATCATAATTACTGAATAATAATGAGTCATAACGGAAATACCAAATTACTGACATCATGATAAAAGTATTTTTCCCTCCAAACTGCATCGAGGTGAAAAAGCAGACAACTAACTCAACTCTTCTTTCAAGTTCACGCTTCGCGTCGTTGTACTTTCTAAGCTTTGTTATTTCACGAGATTGTTTACTGATGTCCTTTTTTTTTATCTGGATATTTTGTGAATAAATTAAGAATATTTTAAATTTTAGCACTTTTTAATACAATGACAGATAAGAAACTCACTCGTGATTTTACTGCTTGCTACGTTTAAAAACGTAAACATGTTGCATTGACAGTAATGAGAAAAGTGGAAATTCGAGCTAAAGATCGAGGCAGGTGCTACTGCTCCGTTTATAGCAGAATAGTATGGAATTACCACATAGACTGTGTATGATATACGAAACAATAAAGAAAAGCTGTTGAAATTTTACAGCAACAGCAATTCTGGCACCGGAATCTGAAACCGGAAATCTTTACATAAGGCGAAATTGGCAAACCTCGATGCTGTCTTGTACGAGTGGTTACGGCAGCGGCGGAGTGATGGGGTACCTATTTCAGGACTACTCCTGAGAGAAAAGGGGAAGCAGATTCATGCTGATTTAAAAATAGAGGAGCCTAATATAAATGAACAATATAATATAATCAGTTTATATATGTAATAATAATTTAATGCATATAATTAATTATTGTATAAATGTATATAATAATTTAATTAAATGTATCTAATACGCTTTATTTATTTTGCACTTTTACTCTTAATATTATCTTTTCTGTCCTGAAATCTGCACAACCTCTAATCCCAAGCGTTGCAGATTTCTTGACTTCAACTGTACCATCTTCTACAGAAACAATTCCAAATTTACTCCTATCTTTAAATCTAAATCTTATTCTGAAACATTTAATAACATTAACCTCAATAAAAATTTCATTACATTCTTTCGCATAATGAGGGAACTCAAAACCATTTTTGGAGAAACTCCATTATCCTAATTAACCTTTCTTATTAATAACAACTTAAAACAGCTAAGAAGTGCTGATCCCAAAGAAGATGTACACTTCAAATTAAATTTAAATAAATGTACATTTAAATTAAAGCTAAATATTACATTAAAATAATCCAAAAGTACATTTCAGAACAAATATCTTATTAGAAACAATGATATAATATTAAAAAGTACATACTCTATTAACACATTCAAAGCTTTATCAAATTTCTTGTCGTAAATATACAGTTCACTAAGACTTTCTAACAGCAATTCAGACTTGGGAAATAAAGCTAATTGCTCCAATACAATACTTATAATAGTAGATATATCATAAATATGACTTGGCCATGTACGGATCAGATCCAAGAAACCCTAGAAACAAGAAACCTTTTATTATATGTAAAAAAATAATAATGCAAACACAATAACAATATAATACCTTAATTCCCCGCTAAATAAAAAAAAAAATACGTAGCGTATTCGGAAACTAAGTACTGTTTCATTCTAGCGCCGTCGCAGCGCTGTGGTAGGCGTCTTGCGCATGCGCACTAGTCTTTCTTGTTCACTGACTTTCTATTGTCGCAATTTTGGTTGCTCTATGTTGTGTTTTCAGTTTGCTGTGCACATTCATAATGTTTAAGACAATTAGTTCTCCCGCTGACTGTGAGATTCGTGCAGTGATTAAATTTTTGAGCGCGAGGAAAGTGGGTAAGAATGTTTAATGCAGGTCGAACAAATATCCACGCCAAGGCTCGGAGTGGTCGGCCTTCTGTTGTCACCAATGATTTGGTAAGGAAAGTTAAAGCAATTCATGAGAACAGACGCTTCACAATGACAACTCGTCCAGAGGCATTTCCACAAATTTCACGTACTGTTTTGTTCGAAATTGTGTCTGACCGCTTGAATTATTGCAAACTGTGTTCCCGATGGGTTCCAGAAATGCTCACTGATGTTCACAAAACAAAGCAACTTGGTAGTGCCCCGACATTTCTCATGCGGTACAGTGATGAGGGAGAAAACTTTTTAAACCAAATGTGGACAGGTGATGAAACTTGGGTGTGGTCATTTCACACCAGAATCGAAACAACAACATCGATGGAGTGGAGACACACTCATTCTCCGAAAAAACAAAAGTTCAAAGTGACAATATCATCACAAAAAATCATGTGCACTGTCTTCTGGGATAGGAAAGGCGTTTTGCTTACTGAATTTCTTCCCAGAGGTGAAACCATTAATACGGCACGATATTGCGAGACTTTAACAAAACTAAGGCGTGCCATTCAAAACAAATGAAGAGGAATGCTCAGTAAAGGAATTGTGTTGCTCCATGACAATGCTCGGCCCCATACTGCTGGTGTCACTCAATCGTTAATTTGACAGTTTCATTAAGAGCAGTTTGATCACCCGCCGTACAGGCCGGACTTGGCGCCGTCCGACTCTCACTTGTTCCTGCACATGAAGCGCAAGCTTGGTGGCAAGCGCTTTGGATCCGATGATGACACGAAAAATGCTGTGGAGTAGTGGTTATCGAAACTGGTGGGAAGTTTCTTTGATGATGGTATACAAAAACTGGTCACCCGCTATGACAAGTGTTTGATCATTGGCGGAAACTATGTTGAAAAATAGTTTAAGACATGTATTTTCATGTAAAAATAAAATTGGATTCGAAAAAATTGTTTTACCATTTTTTTTTTCTTTCCAAAATGGTACTTAGTTTCCGAATACGCCTCGTACATCTTAATACAGTTTTATGAATATGGATTGTCTTGGATCAATTAATTTAAGCAAAGGATATAACAGACTTTTGTTTATGCATCATCCCAATATTGACCAAGATCACCTTAAGGGGAAGGGGAATATGACCTCATATTTCTCTTCACTTATCATAAATTTCTTTGAGATGGCTTTCAAACCTATACCACCACAATTAGAAGTATCTCAGTCCTTTTAAGGAATCCAATTCAAAACTGTGTGATGCTTTCACTAACCATCACACTGTCCAAGACAGTGAAATATATTAATGCAATTGAGATTAAATATACCTAGGATGTAATCACAACTACCTTTATCAGCTACCTTATGAAGCAGCAAATGTTAAGGAATCTAGCAATTCATAGTAGCATATTTTATACAGTAGCAGTATGAAGAAAAAGTGATTTGGGGCAACATACATTTAAAATAGTAGCAATTCAAGAATGCTAATAATAATGATAATAAACTATTTCAACACCTTTTTTTAATCCTAATAAATACCAAAAGAGAAGTTAGAAGCCATAAAAATCCCTGGGAACAGCCTAATATAGATTACCTTTTTATAATACACTGACTGACAACCATGACATAACGTGATTAGCAATCTGTTGGTAGATTTCCAGCATGAGCTGATACAATGTAAACACAAAATAAATTTGTAAACTGAGCATCTGTAAAGATTCATTAATAACAAGAAGGCATTAAAAAATGATTTATTTATTTTTTATAAAAGATTTTCAAAATATAAAAAATTAAATTACACTATAAGATAACGTTTTTGGTACATGCTCCACTGCTTTTAGTTATTTATACTCTTAAATGACACTATTAAAATTGTTTGTTGTTGTTGTTACTGTTTTGTACATGTATTTCATGGAAGAATAGCTGCCAGAGCCTCAAAGAGGTTGGACTTCTACTTCCACCCCAATTCTGAGGAAGAACACCCTGGGGAAGGGGTTTTGAGGGTCTCCTACCCTTCCACTTTACCATCAATCCACACTAAAGAACTTCTGGCTTACCATATATTTGTCTACGCTGTGCTCCCTATGCTGCAAAGACACAACACTTACAACAAACATCCATGCCTTCTCTGGGATTCAAACCCGGGCCCTTCAGTACTACAATAGGCTCCTCTAACCACTATACAGTCTGGAGGACATTAAAACTGGTTGTTTTAATCATTTAAATATGAAAACTATTGAATTTTGTATTTTATGAGGCTATTATTTCTAAATAATGAAGGTATTTAAAATAGCATTTAATGGGATTAAAAATTAATAGGTTATTAAATTAATTATTAGGACCATTTTCATTTATGTATTCTTAATGATTTCTATTTACGTTAACAAAGATCTATTGAAGACTAGATAGCCAGCAATTCTTAAGAACACTAACCGAAGATTTATAGAATCATTACTTACCGTGGTGTAGAATATTTCCCACTTTGAAGCTATATCACCTAACGAGTCAGAAATTTATTCTACACATTTAGCCACTAGATTCATATAAACTTCAAAATAAAATTAATTTGGCCCAAACATTATTTGTGAAGTAATACTCTCATTTAGAACATTCTTGCAGGGTGCTGTTTTATTTAAGTTGTTTAGTTCAAATTCATTAAACATTGCATAATGCACATAAAAAGAATTCAAAACTTAACATTTTACAGATATCTGTTTCTGGTATATTTCATAAACATCTTTGTTTAAATACTACAGTGGCATAGTAAGAAATTCTTCTGCCAGGACAATCTCCGAATTTGCCATCTGGGACAGTCTTTGAATTTGCTGCCCCTCCTGATACATGAGCAAATAGCTAAAAAATGTCAGACTGAATGTACGGGGAAATAACTAAAAGCTTTCATGTTTATTTTCAAAGTAAAAATATTATTTTATCATTTTAAACTTAGATTATTAGTTTGCTCGTTTTTCCATATTTTGCTCATTTCCCTATTATTTGCATTGTATTGGTCAATTTCATTGCTCAGTTGCTATTACATAGACATTATCGAAAGATTTCTTAATCACAAAATAAACAGTTGTAGTTCTTAAATATGTTTTAAATGATTTTTAAAAAACTTTTCTTACACCTAGCAATATTTACCGCAAATGTGAGGAAAGTTCGCTGTTATACTACACTCTGTAACAGTGTTGTCCAACCTTTACTTACCCGAGGGCCAATCAAACATTAGTATAAAAGAGTGAGGGCCAGAGACATTAAAGAAAGAAAACAAAATTACATATAAATCACTAGTTTAATATATAACTTTATTTTACAGTCTAGAAATCAATGTGATGATTGGCATTGCTTTTTTGATCAACAAGTTTATAAATATCCACCGTAATTTCAGTAGGCCAAAGTCTCAGGCTCGATTCCAGTGAAACACTTTCAATATGATTTTTCAATTTTTATTTAATTTGTTTGAGAACAGAAAAAGCACTTTCACACACATATGTACTGCCAAACAGTGGTAACATTTGTAAAGAGAATTTATGCAGTTTGAGAAAACGTTCTTTAGAAATCAGTTTCCAGAAATGTTCAGTGACATCACACTTTTTAGTCTAGTAGAATGGATCTGCCTGAAGATCACAAATTTCCATTTGAAGTCACAAGGCACCTCACTATTTTCAATCTCCATGGGATTGTTTAACAATGAAAGTTTTGTTTTTAGGGAATCGGAATCCTAGAATCTGTCCTGGAACTCTTTCTTGATATCAGTAATTATTTCATGAAACATACTAAAATTTGTGTCATTTTCTTCTGTCAGCTGCTGACAAAATGCGAAGTGTGCCACATTATTTGCCTTCAGTGTAATTTGCATTACATTAAACTTTTTTGCGAAAGCCTTCAATATGTCCATAAAGCTAGGATATATTTTGTTTTCTGCCTTGTAGTTTCAAGTTTAAAGCATTTAGATGGGTTTTTAAATCTGTCAGAAAAGCAAGATTATTTAAAAACTGGATTTCTTCCAATTTTTCTTGATACTCATGCCGAATGTTTTCTTTTTTGATGAAAGCAAGAATTTTATTCCTCAACCTAAAAAACTGTTGAAGATTATTTGCAGCACTTAGCCAGCATGCTTCACATACAATAAAATGTCCCCATACTCAGCATCCAAACTGTCCACAAATGCAATGCTCTGTGTCTTTTGTTTTTGCCTCACTTAATTAAAGTTACAATATTTACAACAGTTTTCATCACCTGATCCTTATAATTTTTAGTATTTAATTATTATATTTATTATTTAAAACAGTAAGAAGGGTTTTTTTGTTTTTCGAAATGTTTAACTAACATTTTTTTCCCCCATTAGAGAAGGGCAAGTGCCAACAAAATGAATAAGAGAGCCGCATGCGGCCCGAGGACTGCGAGTTGGACCACGCTGCTCTATAACATAAAAGCCGATGCACCAAGAAGGAGTTATCAAAATAGAATGAAAATCAATGCATGTGATGTATTGTAACAAACATGGAGAGTATCACAGGAATTGATGTTTTATTCAAGAAATACAGTTTAATGAAGAGAAAAAAATTAATAATGCATTGGCCCCACCCTGATGTAAGCTATTATTATCCAGCTGGGCATTAACTCATAGAGTTTTCAGATGTCTTCCTGCGAGATTGTTTGCTATACATGTTCTAACTGGTGAGTTTGAGCAGTGCATTCCAGAAATGGTCAGAGACAGTTGCTCATCACAGCTCAAATATGCTCTGTTATTAAGGAGAGATCTTGTGAACGTGCTGGCCAGGAAAGTGTTGCAGAAGCATGAAAACAAGCAATAAAAGGCATGTTATGCTGGGCATCATAATGTCAAAATGTAAGCACATGGATCTGTGAAAGGAAGGGTGACACAATGGGGTGCAGGACCTCACTGATTTGCTGTACAGGTATCATAGATGACAACAAAAGGGGTCTAGCTATTAAATGAAATAGCACCTCATACTCCCGATTGTTGAGCAGTGTGGTGGACAGAAGTCAGATAAATATTCCATCGCTGTCATGGATGTCTTCAGGGACATCTTTCCTGGTCATCAGGACAATCATCAGGTCATCCTGATGATTCCTGGTCATCAGGGCATCTTTCCTGGTCATCAGTCTGATGTGGAACTCATCACTAAGAACAATTCTACTCCAGTCCATGAGATCTCTGGTCAAATGCAAAAGGACCACAGCAAATAGGGCTGTCGGTGTGCAACGGTGAAAGGCAGTCAGTGCAATGACCTCCATGAAGTCAGCTTCCACTCACCAAGTTGCATACCAATGGTCTTGTGGTCACTTTGCTACAGTCCATGTGGGTTGAAAGAACCACATTCACATGGAAGTTATAACTTAGCATTGGAATGTCCTCTGTTTTATACACTATCCACTTACTCTATTGCAATGCACTGCAGCTATAGCTAGTCAGTCAATGGCCATCAAAAGTTAATCATTTGAATATTCTATTGTAAGGTATGAGCATATGCAACCTCATCCGATTCATATAACTCTTCCTTGGTGCATGGTTTTTTATGTTACAGAGTGTACAATATTTGGAATTTTATTCTGAGATTATATTTAACTGTAAACTGCTAATTCAATAAAATTCAAAACATTCCTATTTCATTTCCCTGGCAATAATGAAACTAAAACTCTGAAATACTCCTCTTAACAAGGAATTCGTCCTTATTAATGTCACTATGATCATAATTTACTTGATATTTGCATTTTTTATTTAAAAGTTTCGAAGAAAGACAAGTATAACAAGAACCTGTAGCTGTAATCTTGTAGTGAGTTCTTTAAATAAATCATCTAGTTTGAAAGCAAGTTTCTTTTGAATTTAACTTCATTTGGTAATTCAGGATCTAATTCTTGTTCATCTGGCTGCATGATCAGCATGACAAACCACTATAAAATAATGTTTTACATGAAATATGGCAAACTCAAAAATATATTGCCTTGGGAGGACAGTTTCCTTCTCTAACTATAGCACTGTACCATTAATCTATGTTTATTTATGTATGAACACATACTGATGATGTCTGAATTGTAAGAATCTTAGAAAGGAACTTGAAAATGTTATTACATTTAACCCATTAGCCGCTGGTGTTGCATTGACGCAACGGTCAAAATAAATGCGTATATAAATATAACTACCTAAGATATTTGATACCAGCAGTGATATTGTGTAGGGAATATTATGAAGATTATTTCTGTAAAAAAATATTTGCCTTCAACAATCATTTTGTTTATAAAAATTAATCTTATACTTTAAGCAAAATTTTTGATGGAATATTTTTGGTGAAAATATTTAAGGAAAGAATCACCGTCTTTATGAGTGATCTATTTTTAATCAAGGTCACCATTTATCACAACATTACATCAGTCAGATGTTTATATTTGTGTTGGGAAGCAAAAGAAAACAGGTGTTGCTCTGATGCAACGTCAGCAGGAAACAGGTAGTCAATCTCCTTTTTCACTCATTCCTTTCGATGTTCTGGTTGTTTAAAAATGCTTAGAATGAGGTATCTTACATTAGAAGAAGCCCTTCAAAGATTTTTTGATGAAGAAACAGATGATGATAATGTTAATAATGACCTGAATGAAACTGATATTGTTGTTGTTCCCCCAGAAATTGCAGACACTAGTGACAAAGAAGAAAGGAATGGCAATGTTTTAAATAATGATAATGATATTTTACCAAATGATACTGTTGGGGAAGTTGAAATTCAGGTAAGAAGTAAGTTTCAGCCTTCTAAAAGCAGTTATAGTCATACTAAAAAGTTTAAAAAGCAGAAGACTGAAATCTTGAAGTGGATAAAAAAGGAACTGTTAGTTATATCTCAGGAAGAATGTGAAGAAAGAGACAGAAGAGAAATTATAAAAGACAAAATACAAGGTAAAACTAGTGCACAGATTTTCGATTTTCTTTTTGGTTTAGACATTTACTCTCTTCTCGTTGAACAGACAAATATATACGCTCAAAAAAAAAAAAAAGAAGAAGAAGAATTTATTGCATCTGAAGCCTATACGAGAAGATTTATTGGAATATTATTGCTTACAGGATATTATTCTTTACCTCAAGAAAAAATTCCGTATTGGTCTTTTGATAAGGACATTTCTGTTCCTGTTGTACAAGAATCGATATCACATTTGCAGTACAGGAATATGAAGCAGAATTTGCATTTGACAATACTGATAAATTATATGAGGTGAGACCGTATCTAAACTTACTAAATATGACCACTTTTTTTACTACTGGAAACATACATTTTTTTTATTTCAGTCTCTTAGATTTCAGACGCGAGAATGCATTATTCCTTTTGCAAACTCCTATTGAGAGTGTAGAATTAGCAAGAAATAGATCAGCAACAGGAAGACCTAGTACATTCAGCATTCAAAAACCATTGCATGGAGATGGTAGACATCGTAAAGTCCGTTGATAACAAAAGACTTTGTTGTAAAGAGTACCATAGCCAGACTGATTATAGATGCAAAGTATGTAATGTAGCTTTACATCATAATTGTAATCAAGCTTTTCATGCTTGAATCTTTCAATTGAAATAATCTGTGTTTGTAAAAGAAATACAATGTATATTTTAATATTAAATTAATTACAAGTGATTTGTAGATTTATAAAACGTTATACAGCTAAAAAGTAATCCTGCGCTCCACTCGAAAGAAACATCACACGAGTACAATCCTACTCACTAAACATCCGTAGTCATATTCCGCTGGCATTTGCGCGAACGCAACAAGTCGCTTTTTCCTACAGGTAAGAGGATTTTTTTTTTTTTTTAATTTTCCAATGTAAATTTGTTATACATGCTTAATTTAATATTTGTTATTATTTTCATGAGAAAACAAACATTCCTTGTAATTTTGGCAGTTAATGGGTTAAGGAACATGAGGCATATGTAAGAAAAAAGGAAACGCAGAAGTCTTCTGTTGCCCAACATTATTGGTCCAAAAATCACACTTTCAATTTTTCTGCTGACAAAATTATTCAAAAAACATCTTCCATTGGTGAACTTGATTTTATAGACGCATTTCACATTCAAAAAAATATTTCTGTTCTAGTTAATGACCCTAATTCCAATCCGTCTTTGCCTTCAGCATTTAAAAAATTATGTTTTAGTTCTGGTTTCATCAACAGATGGCAGAAGTAGCTTATCTCCTGTCCAGGCTTTCTTATCTTATCTAATCATTATATCTTACCTTGTTCATTTACGCTGCAGCTGAGGATCATGGTTCGGTGAAACCATTGAAACTAGTCCTGTGAAGGTTTGAAAATATAATGCTGATTTTTTGTTGTTTGGCTTCTGGGTTGGTATATAATATGTGTTTGTTTCAGGACATAATATTACAAAACAACTTACTTGCTGATCATGTTGCAAAAATTCATTAAGAATCATCTCATAAATTGTAGGTACCAAATTTTCCTCAGTTGGTACATATGGAGCAATAGCTCGCAACTGTTCGATCTCAGCAAATCGATACACTCCCGTTTCCCAAACTTCTTTGTCTTTACCATATATAACAGCACACAGAGCAGCAGCTTCATTATACTGTTTCAGCTCCAGTAAGTGATCCAAATAAATGTTTCCAACACCCTGAAAGAATTGTTACTAAGTAAAGATGAAACATAACACCTTTCGGGAAAAATAAAAATTTAACATGATTTAACATACAAACTACAACTAGTGTTATAATAATGAAAAAACAGATGGATTCCAGCATACATGATGTATTGTTTGCAAGTGAATGATATGAAAAATTTTAATTAAATCCTCATCTGAAACAATTAGTTTTACTAACCAATTTTAAGTTATAACCAATGCCAGGGTTGGCAACACCACACTTGTCTGTCCCTGTGCACAGCACTAAATTATTTTACTTTGTGTGCAATTCTGCAATTTTTGGTTACGTTTATATAATGCATATTAAAATTATATATTTTTATATTTCTGTTGTCAAACAGCCACTTTATTGCATTGCCATTGCTCAAAACGTTTCATTGTCGAATGGAACTGACTAAAGTCAGACCGACACGACAGTATGGCGCGGTCTGATTGATGCTTTTAGAACCATAACCTCTCTAATGCAATCGGCAGTACATGCAGGAAGAAAGACTCAGCATGTGCAAAACATGATATCTGTCTACTTTGTCTGTGCCAAATTTGATTAAATCGTAAACTACTCCAAATTTCCGACTTTCAGATAGGCAGCAAAATCAATAAATAGACAGTATGTAGTGTGTTATGTACTCTGTCACTGCTTTCTTGTTAAAGTCATTTACATATTCTACAATCATCCAGGATGTTTTCTTACAGATAAATTTGCTTACAAACTGATGACTGTAACAACCCACAATGAACAAAGCTAAGTGAGCACACACTTATAATTCTCGGCTTGCATGCTATATTAGCCGATATTTTGAACTTGCATGTCGGTAAATTAGTATTTGAACTAGCTCGTAGTTTAGTTACATCTGCGTAGTCGTAGACTGCTGAATCAAAGAATAAATTTATCTGACTCTTATTTAATTTGTATCACTACAAGTGGTGGTTATCTGCAGTACAAGTCATGCCTGTTTTGTTAAAAGTTCAGTTTCATAAAGATGTTGTTTAAACATTTGCAAGTCTTTTTCATACTATTTTAGACATAGGGATAACTCATTACTTGTCTAGTAAAGTAGTAGGACTAAAACTCCAGTATCAGAACTGAGTAGAATCTTATAAAGTGATGATATTTGAAGAATGTGAGCACCAGTTTTGCTTTATAAATCATAAATATAATAACATGCTTATTATGAAACAAAACGTGTAGCAATTCCAAGAAAAGTAGCCTTGACAGACATTTTAAAATGGTGCATCCAAAGTTTGACTCAGAGTATCCTGAACTTTTTGAACTTTGAAGAAATAAAATTCTATCCTTAAAGTAATCTTCAAATCAACAATCTACTTTTACCAAACCACTGGAAACATCAGAGGCAGCAAATATTGCTTTGATTAAAGTTTCACATATACTTGAAAAAGGATGGAGCAATAATGAAAGAAGCAATATTAGAATCTTCAGAGACACATTTTACAGATTTTAGAACTGTTACAAGGAGAATCAAAACAATCGCAGGCTACTTAGAAACCTAACTGATAAAAGGTATGAACAAATGTGCATTTTTTTTCCTTTACAACTGAACCAACTGAAAGATATAAGAGATATAGCACAATTGGCAATAAGTATCAAGATAGCCTTTGACAATTTTACTGTAAAAGAAGAGTGTCTAAAAATCCCATCGCTTAAAGAGTTCACACACGGAAAGGATTTATTTTGTGTAATAAAACGTTTTTCATTGATGCTAAAATAACAACTGAGTAATCATCATCAATAACAACTGACAGGGCTCAAGCAATGACAGGGAAGAATATTGGATTCATTGCTTTATTGCAACAGGATCCCCCTTTTCTTTTCAAAATTTATTGCATATCTCTGCATTATACGTCAGTTATCACTGTGTGCAAAAATAACTGAATTCCATAATGAAGACAAATGGAGGGCAACATAGACTAGTTAAACTGCTTTTATAAAATAAAAAAGTTTCACAATTTTAAAGTCAATAATTAAAAAAAAAAAAAAAAAGTGCCCACTAGTAGTATCTATCTAACATACAAACAATTTTACCAAAATTTCTTAAGCTAAAGTATTTTCTAAGATTAAACTTTAATTAGAAAGTTTTAAAAAGATGCTGATTGAGCCATTTTAAATAAAAATAAAGCATATAAAAAGAACAAAAGTTATTAAACTGAATAAAAAAATGGAGGGAAGAGTTCCAGATGTAAATGATACAACAGATATAAAATGGTATAACATCAAAATAGTGTTAATATAAAAACACATGCTATAATATTTAAATACAATTGTACACACATACCAGAAGAGTATATTTCTTCAAATTTTTGCTTTCAGAAATAGCTTCTACAGCTTCCTGAAAAGTTCAAATTACATAACTTAGCTATGCGCATAATATCCTAATTTACTTTTTCAGTTCAGAAATATTATCACTTTGACTCAAAGTTGTATCAATTACCCAACTTTGATACTCAGAAAATGCAATAATGCAATGAATAATTTCTAGGTTTATTCTTACACAAACATTTAAAAAAATGAAACAAAAATGCATCTTCTTTTATATATGAAACTAAAAATGAATTTATAATAACTTTCATCAAAATATTTCTATTATTTTCTTTGCAAAATAAATTAATAACTAAATTTTAACAATAAAATACCATGTTCCTTCACGTATTTTCTCCTTCAGCATTTCAGGGACAGGTTCTGAAAAATTTAAAAATATTCACATAATTTTCCCCTACTTCAAAGCATTCAAAGAACAAGTTCCGCTAAATTTTAAAATCGATTTATCCAAGTAGTGATTGCTACGTCTTACTAACAACAAAGACAAACCCTTGAATGCTACTTGTAAAGATCACACCAAAACTTTCTTTTGTGACTACTGAATTTTATGCCAGCCAAATACGAGAATCGACCAACCACAGCGAAGGAAACATAAACTAATCTACAGTCCATAACTTTGCTGAGTCAGCTGTACATTCCTTTTCTTTAATTGCTTATAGATGATTTGAGGCCTAAGGAGTACCAATGGCAACAATAAGAATAGGCAAGATTCAAGTTAAGGGAAGTAGAAATGAAGATATCTTGTTAGGTAGTGCAATGTTAATATTACTATGTATTCTTAAAAGAATGTAGGTTTCTTTTAAAAAAAAATAATGTGATAGTTACCTACAATTTATTCATGAATACTTTTCATTTGTTATGCTCTTACTGTAACTATGTCTTCAGAAATTAAATTATTCACATTATTTCTCCTTCTCAAATTTTTTTTTTTACAGTAAAATTAGTAAAAATAGGGGGAAAATAAAGTGATTATAATGTTAAATATCTTGCTATGAAGAAAACTGAAGTTGTAATGTAGAATATTTAATTAACTTAACTACAGTGGTATGACAGGCACTTGTTATTTTAATCATTCTGCTACAAGGAACCAGTACAAAAAATTTGCAACTGATATAACATAAATACACTAAATTAATTCTACATTAAATTCATTTCTGTTACAGCAATCACCTGCTATAATGCCTTTTCTGGAAGATGAGAAGTGCCATTATTACAAACATCAACTTTATTTTTTCGCACAATTTAAAGTTGCATACATACACCATAAGCACAAAACTTCAAACAAAAGGCACATAATAACTTCACTTGATCAATTGAAATTTTTTCAAAATACCTTATATCGTTCATGTTCTAACAACCATGCAATATGATCATCTTCATTTCTTGGTTTAGCAACAACAAAATCCTTCAAACTCAATATAAAATACAAGCCTTCTTCGGCTAAACTATCTGTAATTAAAAAATAAAGTTATTTATATTTTCCATCATAAAAGCATTTATACTAAAAATTACTGCACAAGAAAAACACTCATGTCCATAAATTAAGGATAATGCAAAATCAAGCAAAGGATGAGTTAGAAGCAAAACAAATTTGACTTATTTGTAAAGCTTATTTATTAAACAAAAGGTAAAGAGCAAAAAAAGATGCTATATGTTTGATATTATTAAAAAAATTAGTGAATTAGCAAATTACAAAAAAAAAAAAAAAAAAAAAAAACCTATTTACAAAAAACCAATATTACATGGTTGGTATGATTGTTAATACATTGTATGTCTCCCAGACGATGCAATACAGTCCGTGCAACGCCTAGGCCTGCTGAGTATCAAATTATCGATCTGATCTTGGGAGATATTACACCACTCAAAAAGCAAAGCTCTCCGAAGTTCCGGTCAACATGTAGGAGGAGGTTGACAGGCTGCAAGTTGTCGGCCAAGCATGTCCCACACGTGCTCTACTGAATTCAAGTCCAGTGAGAATGCTAACCAACCCATACGGGTGATATCCTCCGATTGAAGGCACTCGCTTACGATGTTTGCACGGTGACGACGGGCGTTGTCATCCATAAACACATATTGTGCACCCATGGTGCCGCGAAACAAATGTACATGTTGTTCCAGAATGACATCCCGATAGATTTGGCTTGTCATTGTTCCAGTTTGAACATGCAGGTCAGTTCTGGAACCCAGAATTATTCCACCCTAAACGAGCACTCCTGCACCACCGTAATGGTGTCGTTCAAAGATGTTTTCTTGGTGGTAACGGGTACCTAGAACTCTCCATATGAAAGTCCGGTGAGAATCCGACTGCAAGCTAAACCTGGACTCGTCGGAAAACATCACACAAGCCCACTATTGCGGTGTCTATAATGAATGCTCTCTACTCCAGGCTAACCGCAGGAGACAGTGAGTTGCAGTAAGTGGAACGCATCTGACAGGTCTACGAGCATATAGACCAATCTGCCCTATGTATCTATACACGGTCTACCTTGAAATTGTCGTACCAGTGCTGAAGAGAGCTGATGAGACGGGTCTGAAGCTGTGCTCCGCCTATTTCTTTTGGCAGTAACTGCCAAATACCGGTCCTCATTCGGCATTGTAACTCTGAGGCGACGTGTGCTGTAACATCTACTCACATTACCATCATCTTGGAATCGTTGCCAAAGCCTGAAGATGACACTCTGGGCAATTCCAAGTTTGTCTGATACTTCCAGTTGGGTACGCCCACATTCCAGACGGCCGATAATTCTACCACGTAAAAAATCATCCAAATGCGTCCTTTGTGTCATAACTATTCGGTTATTGCACTGAAATGCTTATAAAGCGGCTGCGAACAATTTTACTTCTTTGCCTGTATTCCTTATGTATCACTCTCTTACACTCTCATCATTGTGATGTACCATCGGTGTCATCTGGTTACTTCCTGAAATTTGCATATGATTCTTGAAGATGTGTGTAGTGATTTTACAGGTGATATATTTATTTCAGAGTTCGACTTCCGCGTGACTCTGAATTATCCTTAATTTATGGACGTGAGTGTATTTTTAATGCTGAATCACACAAAAATTGAACACTTTATGATTTTGTAGGAGTTTATTTTTTATTTTCTTACCAGTTATTTTTATTTTTGAAGCCTTTTCTTTATTCTCTTGTTTCCCACCCACAAGTCCCTGCTAGAATGAATTTTTAGGATTACATTTCATGTAAATGAGATAGAAACCAACTGAAGTCTGGATCACTTCAGACGAAAAGCCTAGTAGAGCATTAGAACAGTATGTTCTGCCTTCCGGCCACATTGTTGCTAAAATTTTAATCTTATTACTACTCGGACGTATTGTTACATGGCTGCTAGTATCCACCAGTGATCTTAAATAAGAACCAACTTTGTTAATTAATTGTGTGCAGCTCTGGATTGTTTACTTGAGTTAGATTAGTTCTTATTTTCTATCTTGAGTTAAAGTCCAAGTAGAGGCTTACTGCAAGCCCAAGAAGGGGCCATCTGCTCATATACTTTGAGTTGGAATAAAGGGTAAATTAACCTTTCCTTGGACTTATTATTTGCCTAAAGAACTCCACGATAAGTCACTGTACAGTTCTTAAATATTCTAGCCCTCAAGGACTTACAAATTAGCTAGGATATTACGATTTAACTATGTGCAATCATAATACTTTGTGACTACACTCATACCGAGTGCATGAACAAAACTGGCACAAAAAATATATCAAGAAAAAAATTTTGTTATAATTAAAAAAAAAAAAAAAATATTAGAATTTCCACAAACAAGAGCCAAGTAATGCTTTGTAGATGAAAATTTTTCAATGAAGCTGCCTTCTGCATCAATCATAACCTCCAAACAACTACAAATGAAAGTAGATGCATTATTTTGAGACTAATCTTGAAATGCCTAGAACATTTTTTTCCTCAGTTCACTTTTACTATTACATGCAGTTTTTAGTATCTTTTGAACCTTGCCCCACACAATGGCAACTTCAACAGTAATCAATCGGGTTGTAATCAGATGAACTAGGAGGCAATATATCAGGTATAATATGTAAAACAAAAGTTATCCCTGAAGTATTTTTAGGTTTTCCTAGCTTGGTTTGTTTATGCAGTCTTGCGGAGTTCATACAATCTTTCTCAATTCATCTTCAAATGCAGGCTGGATCACAATAATAAAAATTTTTTGACATGTTATGTGTAGGCATAACATGTCAATCACTGCTGATGATGCCAATGACCACAATGTGAACAGGAAACCTGCTTTTATGACTTTGGGCACATCTCTAGGATACACAGCAGCCATCTGTAATTGTGCCTGTTATGTGCCTGACTAGGGCAAAAAGTTTTCTCATCAGAGTGATACTTCAGAGTATGCTTGATTTTTTGCAAAAGTTTCTTGCTTTTCACAAGACAGGCTGATTATATTCCTTCAATAAGAAGCTGATCACTCCACATCTTGTAGGATTTATACTAAATATTTTCTTTCAAACAAAGTCTCAAATTGCTCTCAGAATGGCTAAGATGTCAAGAAATCTCACATAGACTGAGATAGTGGGATTGTTCCAAATTAGTTGCTACACAGTTGAAATGAAACTGCCACTCCTCATCCTATGTTTAACCAAATCTTTTTGGCTTTCTAGCAGCCACAAGCTTCAGAACAAAATCTCAATCCAATAACTGTTCCCCCAAGTCTCTGAACTATCCTCAATAGCAATTTCAAATATGTCACTTTTTATCATTCAGACACAGAAGGAATAGATTTTCATGTTCTTTCTCTGTTCAAAATCATCTAGTTTGCTTAGGGTTTGCATTCTCTGAAATGTTATAGATAACTGAGAATTGGCACAAATAACATGGATTATGAAAAATATTATATTATTTGTAATTTTCTCTTTAAACTTACATCAATTCTATTAGTACTGTATGTACATCTTCTGTGTATACATAGGTAACTCAAACACTTTTAAGACAAATGTACAATATGTCATGGAAAAATTATTTCCAACATATAGAAATCTGATCTCTTTTATGTTCATAGATGATAACTTTTAGCAACAACTGCAATTCATCTATCATAGAATAAATTTTGAAAACAAACAAAATGAAAGAACATTATCACTATGATTTTAAAGTAAGTAGTTTTTCCCCCATATGTAACGTGTACACGAGCCAGTTTCCCTTAAAAAGTCCTCCCCGAAGGCATCCCTGATTTTAGGTAGATAGCCCTCGAGGCTTTGCCATAATCACGCACACACACACAGCATTGAAAAGGTTATGCACCGCAATCCCAAAATGTGCTGGTGCATAGCTGTATTCTCTACATCAAATCCAAGAGGATGTGTTAGGAAAACAAAACTTGCACCACTTAGGCAGAAGATATGGACCTATCAGATGACATCTGAAAATCCCTGTCGAGATGCCAATACTGAAGATGTGTTGCCTTACATTATGATTCATTATCTGGAAGGATCTTGTTTCCTGCAGCCATCAGTTGATGTTTGTAAAGGTGGTATGGTGCAGACAACACCTCAGATATTGCTCTTGGTACATCCTCTGAGCTAGGCCAACACCTCCTTATAGAAGGAAGCCGGGACACTGGATTGTGACATCACGCGTAGTCGTCTATGTCGAAACCCCGAGAGAGCAACGAAACAAAACAGGCTGCGCGCTAGTGCCGTACTTAACGTTGATTTCACTATTTGATATAGATACTTGGGTGGGATTTTATTCAGAGATTCAATTATATATAATGAATAATTTAATTACTTCAAAATTTAACACAATAAAATTTGACATAAATTTAAGAATTTTTTGTTTCTTATTTCTTGACTTTAATGAATTATACTTCCTTGTAGGTTTCACAGCAGCATTTAAAAAGTTAAAAATCAGCCATACTAACTCAAAAAAGGAATTTCTGACTTTTCCCTCATAATTTAATATTGCTTTATATTTTTCTAATATTTATGAAAAAAACCCAAATTATCTGCATACAAAACTATTACTTTATCATTTCATTTTTCTTCCAAATCAGTTATTTGTCTTTAAAAGAAAATGGTATAAAAATGCACTAAATTTTGTCTATAATATGCTATGTGTCTTGTCAAGTTTCAAATAAATTAGTATATTCAGAGGTTTGCTTAAGCAAATAATTCAATGTGCAATTTAAAATTATTATGCTTAAATCTGTAGAACCAATAATATTAGTTGTATATGTACTTAACTGTATATGTAGTTAGTTATATAGCTGAACTTGAAAAAAAAGATTCACAAGTGAAAAATAAAAAAAATTTTATTTACAATTTTATGAAAAGCAGTCAGCATAACAACACAACACCTAAGTTATAACATACAAATAAGTTTAACATGCCAGCTGATCTCTATTTATTTTCAATAAATTATTCAAACTTGTCTTGTAAAAATTGAAGCAAGAAATCTCATTAAGCATATTGCC